ATTAAATGCATTACAAATTTTTTACATATATAAAAAGTATTTTACACATATAAATATACAGGGTGTCCCAGTCCCTTTTGACGAAACTCAGGGAATCGATTCTACTCTTCCTTTGGAGCAAAAAATGCTCAGGAGAAAATTTTCGGAAAGTTCTCTATTTTGAAGATATTCGTCAATTTAGGTTTTTTCAACTTTTCACTACCTTACCACATAAAAACGCTTACAACTTCCAAAATGTTGAGACTATAGCAAATCCAATTACACCATTTGAAAGAACGCTAAATTTGCTGTAAGATACTTCTTTGCAATAATCTGAATGACATAAAATGTTAGCCAATATCAGTTGGAACATGTCAAAATTACAAAATTTAAAATTTTTGTCATGATTGCACGTTCTACTGAGGTAACAAAAAAATACCTACAACTTGTCAAATTTTACAAAAACTTTTTCATCTAATATGCTTTACGTTGATATATCCAGGTTTTTAAATAACGTTCTAGTAGAGTTGAAAAATAACAATTGAATGTTCGAAAACGTGAGCTAAGGTAAATTTGAAGGGGGGGGGGGTAGAAATAAATCAATTAGAACTCGATTTGTAAAAAGAAAAGGAAAACACTTTGGGCATTTCCTCTGAAAAGTTCCTCGTTTGTTGTTAGGTGCTTGCTACAAGAAGAACCATTGCATTTTATTGTATGAAGCTTTCTGGTATAGTTTTTGTGAGATTACAGATGTGTCACTTTTATTTTACAAAGCGAGTTCTAATTGATTTATTTCTACCCCCCCCCCCCTTCAAATTTACCTTAGCTCACGTTTTCGTACATTCAATTGTTATTTTTCAACTCTACTAGAACGTTATTTAAAAACATGGATATATCAACGTACATATTAGATGAAGAAGTTTTTGTAAAATTTGACAAGTTGTAGGTATTTTTTTGTTACCTCAGTAGAACGTGCAATCATGACAAAAATTTTAAATTTTGTAATTTTGACATGTTCCAACTGATATTGGCTAACATTTTATGACATTCAGATTATTGCAAAGAAGTATCTTACAGCAAATTTAGCGTTCTTTCAAATGGTGTAATTGGATTTGCTGTAGTCTCAACATTTTGGAAGTTGTAAGCGTTTTTATGTGGTAAGGTAGTGAAAAGTTGAAAAAACCTAAATTGAAGAATATCTTCAAAATAGAGAACTTTCCGAAAATTTTCTCCTGAGCATTTTTTGCTTCAAAGGAAGAGTAGAATCGATTCCCTGAGTTTCGTCAGAAGGAACTGGGACACCCAGTATACGAATGAGATTTTACGGTTCTCTTTTTTAAAATTTGCATTGAATGTCAGAAGGAAGTCAAAAATGTAAACGCAAAAAAGAAACGTTTTGGTCTAGTTTACAAATTTTAAACGTTATTTCCGTCTATCTCAAATTATAACAATAAACGCTTTCCGTTTAAATATCGACTAATTGAAGGAAAACATCGTTCGAAAGAAAAAGTTGTCAAATTATCATTAAAAACGTCTAGTACATAATAATAGTAATAATTAACCTAATTGTTTTTATCAAATTTGCCAATTTTTCATTTGTTTTATTAACGATTTCTTATTGAATTCCTAATTAGAGCATAAAAAAAAGTTTTAACCTTTCAAATACATGTAAAACAGGTTTATACATGCAGAGTAATCAGGTCAATTATTCGAATTCCTATTTATCGTAGATGAGACCCAACTCATATGAAATTGCGCGAATAATAATTCTTTTGATTGCAAACGTGTTTTCCCTCTTTGAAATGGGCATAGCAATAATGAAATGTATGATTGTTGCAATGACGGTACGTGGCTCATATTATTTATACCAGCCCACCTAAGCCAACACTTCCTGGGGAAAGAAAGCTTTTGACGAGGTCGAACAATTCCAGATCGTACATAGCAGTTTTTCTTGACGCGTGATGATTTTCCCTGTGAATTTACGAGCGCGTGCTTCCAACTCGTTGGATTTACAGTTGTTAAAAAAAAAACAAAAAACAATTTAGCCTTCTTTTTTTTCAATCTACACGTTAGGGCTGAAATTCCGCCGGTAAAAACAAAGCGGGGTCGCGAAGTTCAATGTCAGCGATATCAAGGGCATAAACTGATATACATTTGAACATTTATACAGCGAATTGATAATATATCGTTATTTTTCTGTAAATGGTAACGAATAAATCAAGTTATAAACAATTAAACCATGTCTACTTTTAAGTTTTCATTGCGATAATTATAACTAATTCCATTATATTTAGTGGTCTATTGACCAAATTACTTCTTGCAATTAATTAATATTTTATTTAAGGTTTTTGGTTGAAATGAAAAAGTAAGTGCCACGAGCGGGATTCGAACCCACGACCTTCAGTTATGCGCCGCTGCTCTACCACTTGTCAGATAGCTCAAGTGGTAGAGCAGCGGCGTATTTATCCGAAGTTCCTGGGTTCGAATCCCGCTCGTGGCACTAACATTTTCATTTCAACCAAAAACCTTACATAAAAATATTAATTAATTATAATTAATTATTTTTGTGTACATTTGTTTTGTATTTCTGAAATATTAACAAACCACTTTAACAACAATATTCCATCTGTTCCATTTTGTTTTTACAGCTTTTCTGCAATGCAGAAATGTAGTTTCATTTTGCCTTAAGTACGCCGTACTAAGACCAAGCGTTCGAAAACGTATAAGTATTACATTAAATAATGAAAAACGGGTTTAAGTACATCGGTAGAAACAAGCCACAACTTGTATTTGAATAAATCCAGCATTTAAAAAAATTTTCAACAGAAGTTATTATCAAGTATTAGCCACTGGCTGTTGATGTACGTGGGTTCTTTTCACTCGCTTGGTTCAGATTACAACAGACATTTTCAAGAGCCGAACTGTGACAAGAGAACCCACTTCAAAAGTCCTGTCGCCCTTGGAGAAAGGAGGTCGATGAGCATTCGTACATATGGTCGTAATTGGTAACGAATGCAAAGTTTATCAACTAGTTTGGCTGTATCCGTCCACCTTGGTCGCTTATCCTCGCTGGTTTGGCCTGTCAAACGCGTTTTGGCATTTCGACATCTAACGTGGTACGCCAGGTGGGATTGATATCATATAATCCCCGTCTGCCTATCTAGTGTGGTTGGTTTACTACTTTTAAGTAGGCATTTTTTAGACCTCTGAAGATGAAGGAGCCGTATGACTGGAGAGAATGAACGTATCGTAAATTTCGTCACCCAGATGACCTCAGCAAGACCTCTCAATGTTCATTAACTTCATACTAATAACCCCTAAGAAAAAACAAAACGTTTCAAGAATAAAAAAGAAAAACTTCATAGCACATGCCTCCAACTTTATAGGAATTCAATACCATTTGGTTGGTAAAGTGTAAATCGTTTTTAGAACAACTCGTCCAAATATTGTCTGGAAATTCTTTAGATAACACACAAAGCTACATATATCTTGAAATATTAAAAAATATTACTACAATTCTATTCAATTTTTGTTATTTGGTTTTGGAAATTTATTTATCTTATATTATAATTTTTATTTATTATTTTTCAAAGGCCTAGCCACAAAATTTGACACCACTGCTTCAGTGGCCTCCATCAATGTTAAAATGTTTACTTAAACGATCACAAACTGATTTCATAAGCTGAAAAACAGACCTAGTTGCATTGTAAACATCAATCTGAAAAAATTAGGCTAATCAATTGATGAGTGGAAATACTAAGGCGATTTTTTTGTTTAGAATTATGCTTTCTTAATTCGTCAAACGTTCGCAATCTTGAAAATTTTTTTTCCATGACATGCTCTTCTTCAAAAAACATTCGATCTCCAATAGTATTCAGACGAAGAGGTAATGTAATTATTAAAAAAGTAAATTATTCGAAAATATTTTTTGTTTGATGATAAGTCTAACTTATAACGATTAAGACAAATTGTTATAAACCAATGAACCGTAATTTTGTCGTCTCTGATCACCCTGGTCCGTTTATCCGCCCTGGTTTCCTCTGCAGAAATTCCAAATTCAGTGGTTTTCTGTTTTCCTCAGTTTCTACACGTAATTATTATAAAAAGGCCAAACGCGCGAGAATACGCACTTAATGTAGTGAAACGCGTCTGGCAGAAAACCAGCGAGACTAGGCGGACCAGGATGATCGGAAACTACCAAACAGGTTCATCACCAACTCTCATAATTAACAGTAGTATTACAATATTTTAAAAAGTGAAATATTAAAATTAATTACTACAAAGTAAAAAAACAAAAACAAAAATTGTTTAAAGAAAACATCACAAAAGTTTGCAATTAAACTTTCACAAAATAAATATAATATTTTTAAATAGCTTATTCATTTGTTTACTAGAATTATCTTAATTTTATTTAATTTATTTAATAATTATTCATTTAGAATTAAAGACAAACTAATTAATTGCATTTACAGCATCAATCAATTCAATGGCCATTCGAAAATAGGATTTACACAACAACTTTGAATAAACGACGATACTTTATATATATAATTTATNTTAAACTTTTCTTTAAAAAAATAGATACAATTTTTCCAAAAAGCTTACACTAACTTATTTATAAATATTATTTTTTTAATGTGTATTTATTAAAGCTGCAGATTTTCCGAATAAATTTTTTTAATGGGTGAAATTTGGTTTTGAAAAAGCAACGTGCAACAAGTCTTTCTTAATGTTGTTTAACGCAAAACGAGTCTCGCAATCAATCATACAAAACAAACATTACCTGTGTTACTTAACATTAATTTTCAAAAAAAAAATATTACAGTGATTATTGTTCTTTTTTAGAATTTCTTGGAATTTTTAGTTTAACTGATTGCAAAACAAATGTTCTTAGCGTTTATATTTGTTGCCATAAAAAATGTTTATGTTTAAAATGTTTTGATGAATATTGGTTGCAATAAAAAATAAAATTCTGGGGTGGTCAAACATGAAAAAAATGTTAATAAATCCTCTTCGCCTACCTTCGAATCCCAGGAAGCCTTCCGCTTTCCGTTGTTATTTCTCTCCATGCTGGACACGGCTGGCATCTCTTTTCTTCGGCGTTAATCCATGGCATGGAAAGAGAAGAAAACACAGAAATAGAAGAACAACTCCCGACTGACTGACTCGGCCGGACGAGGTAGAGAGAGGAAAGTAGGCTCACCCCCTCCTCGCTTAGCCTGTGACCGGCTTCGCTTACCCTTCGGCTCCTTCTCGACTCCTTGCAATTTTTCCAGGACCTCTTTCGATCCTTACATTTTCCTAAAATGCATAGCTGCAGACGTTCTCCGCGTACTCCTCTCGGGTAAAAATATAAGAGAAGTCAGTAAACATGTAGTTTTACATCAACCCCAGATGCTTTTTCTGAGCATATTGCAATTATGTCATCTCAGGCTGAATTCGTTGACAAACTCATTAACATATTGTTTTATTTTTATTAGCCAGATTCTATTCACTAGGACAAACTACTAGACCTTTAAGGCCGCCTCGGAAATCATCTTTTTGAGCTTTCTTATATAATAATCTTAAACTGAACAAAACAATCGAAAATTGCCTAAAATCTACTGCACTATTAGCTAATGTCTAACTGTCATTCGTCCTCAAACTTCAGCCACTACCCAAATTCAGTCGTTGATACTGCCACAGATGTACGAATGTATTAACTAGTTTGGGATCTGGTTTCTGGTCAGGTTTTTTTAAGCTTTCGGCCTTTATAAGACCATCATCAGGGCCTGAATAAATATTACAACATTACATTATGACATTAAATACAAGTTTTTTGGTTTGTTTTAACTTACAGCATCCTATTTCTCATATTAACATTACAGAATGAGGAAAAAACCCGACGACATCGACTAGGAGGTCTCGAAGTACATGAGGTTGGTTAAGTTGAAATTAAGACAAGTTTTTTCTATAATTGTTGTAAAGCTAGATTAAACCAAAATTTCAATAGTACAATAGGCCGTTTTTTAAAAGGATTACCAAGGATAGCTGTCTCCCCCTGACCAGAAACCGATCCCAAACAATCGTCGTGGTCGATTTCTTCTTCATCAACAGAATTTATTAACTGAAACTGCCTGTCTATTAACTATTTGTCTTTCATCGATTCTTCTATATTTCATCGTTATGTTAATATATACAAATACAATATGGTAAAGGAATAATATCTTTTTTTGGACTCTTGTAAAAGTAATAGTCGTTTTAGACCCCAGAGAGCGTCTTATTTACTTATGTAGACAATATTTTTTTATATCATTTGATAGTTCCTATCATCCTGGTCTGCCTATCCTCGCTTTTTTTGTTCTTTCAAACGAGTTCCGACACTTGGCCATGTTCAGTGTGATATATGTGAAGTTTTAGTTATGAGGTCGTGGATGGTGGAGGAGGAGTCGTGTAGGTATTAGCAGAGTTTGTGGAGAGTTTGATGTGTTATGTCGAGGGTCTTTTTGATTTTTGTAGTCGGTCCTTTTGATCTTCGACTTTATATGTACTTAATACATCAAGTACAACAGTATTAGCAGTGTTAGTGGAGTGTTTGATGTGTTAAGTCGGGGGTCTTTTTGATTGTTCTAGTCGGTCTTGTTGATCTTCAACTTTATATGTACTTAATACATCAAGTATAACAGTATTAGCAGTGTTAGCGGAGTGTACAACAGCATTAGCAGTACAATAGTACAAAATCCATGATACTTAACGCGCTCTATTTTCATTCAAAGGTTCTTGGATCGAATCCCGGCTTCGTACGTCAAATGTCTGACCCCTCGTTACATCATTCACCGATGAACTGTGCTCATGTCAAGAACGCAAAGATTTTTTTTTCCTTTTGTTAAACAGAGAATCAATTATAAAAGAACCTTCATACTTCAAGAAAAGATCTTACATTTCAGGAATATTATTAAATAATTAGCTATTTAAACTGCACAAAAATAAATAGGGATATTGCTCATTTTGTAGTACATATTTATATTCCTTAACATTTTTATTTTGTTTTTATTATAAATTGGATTAAAATATATTAGAAATTATTGGTTTTTTACTGAAGAAAGATTTAATTAAGGGATTTTGAAAAATAATAAAAGTGTTTAATTCCATTGTTTTTATTAGACAGAATCATTTTTTTAAACAATTAATATCGAGTAAAATGTCCTCCGTTAGCTGAAACGTCTGTGCACCTATTAGGCAGACTGTTAATACGGGTGTCACTAATTTCATAAGGAATTTCATTTTTTTTAAATAGGACAGGGAGAAGAAAAGACGTTCCCGGTATGAGACAGTTGAGAGTATAACAAAACAAACAAAAAGGGGTGAGATAAGATCCTTGAGTTAAGAAAGTCACTCGCCGGTTTTTCCCATTGTTCCTCCTACAACATTCTCCCTCCAATTCGGATAATGTTTCTGTTCAGTCGGATGTCGTTGACACAGTTGCTTCTTCCTTTCCTTTTGTCTTCCTTCTTTCTGAGTCCTCACATTCAACCTTTGACGGGAAATGCCTCTTACCTTTATATCTTAAATTGACAAAAGTGAATTCACGTCTAGAAAATGTTAGATTTTCCGTTTGTACACACGGATAAGGTGTAGAATACTTGAATTCTCAAGTAATTATCCGGGAGTATTCTGTACCTCTCAACATTAGGCAACGGTGGACAAGAATTGCAAAAAATTGTTATAACCACATGACCAAAAACCCTATTTAAGAACAGAAAATCATCATTTCATCACCCGAGGGTGAGCAATACGTATCACACAAAAGTACCACGAAACCGAAAAGTACGTAAACGTGCTCCTTGGATGAACTGTGAAATGGACAACAAAAACTGTTAGTTGTCATCAAGTCATCAAGTGCAGTGTATAATACCAAACGAAGGCGAATTAACGACCAACGATTAATAACAGAAAGACAACGCAACAAAAAGCATACCAGGATAATCAGGGATAAATAATATTCAACAACTTAGCTAAGACACCAAAAATGCTGCTTCACAAGATATAGAAATTTCAACCGGTTCTACCATCAACAGTACTTTTTCATCAACTGAGTAAGCGAGTAAGTCGAAAAATTCGTCTAAACTGAAATTCTGGAAGAAGTACTAAGTTTGAAGTACATCTGTAGGCTGTAATAATATATATCACTGCTTTATCAAAAGAAATTAATGCAACTTTGATGAATTATGGATAATTAAGTCACCCTCCTATTATCAAGTTTAAATGTGTTTTTCCAGGGACGCTGACATCTAAGTTCGTCTAAACAGTAATTATGGAAGAAGCAAGTAAATTTCTAGCATCATCTGTGTCCATAGAGACTGCGATATGTATAACATACATTATCACTTTTTTCTTAAATATCTCGCAGGCTTATCAAAAGAAGTTGAAGAAACTAATTAAGAAACTAATGAAGAAACTAACGAAAGTGAATCTTTGCTTATAAATATGCCTGCCTGTTTCAGAGGAAATATGAAACCGAAAGAATTGTTGGTGTTGGAAGGAATCACAGGTAAGACAAGTGATGACGACAAAACCCTTTCTATAATAAAATTTATTCTTATTCTATTAATTGTAATTAAATTAACCGATATATTCTTGTTATTGGATAAAACAAAATAGAAAATAAATGTTTAATAACGGATTTACTTAAGAGTAATGAATATGAAGATTACTTATTTTGTAAACAAATACCTTTTCTTGTCTTTTTTCCATTTTAATCCAGTTATATTCTCTTTAACCATGGAAAGACATCATCAAAACTCTCACTAACAAACAAAAGAAAACTTTACATTGTCCTCCTGGCTCCCAGTTGGACATACGGACTTGAACTTTACGGGACTGCTAGCGTTCCAACCTCAATCGAATCCAAACCCTTCAATCCAAAATCCTCAGAACAATAGTCAACGCCGCTTTCTGTGTATCCAATCACACCATCCATACCGACCTAAATGTCCCTCTTGTTACCGAGCTAGCCCAATCCCGCTACAAAACGTTCCATTCCAAACTACCCCATCATCAGAACCCTTTCGTCAAAAACCTGTCATCCACCACATTACCTAAAATCCTAACAGAAGACTGAAGCGTCGGTGGCTCCGCGACAACCTTAACACTTGATCACTGATACAATCACTGGATGGTAGCTGTTAAAGCTTTCATGCTACTGTTATTATTGTTTTTATGTAAATATATGTTTTACTTGTTGCGTGGAAGAATGCAGTTGTAAAAAAAATCGACATTACGAGTAAATAAGGTTTAATTGTCGAACTTACCCAAGAAACTCGCCGTCAAATAGAAAATTTAATTAAAGAGTAGACCTATTTACGGATTAGCTATTGTCCTTTTCACAATTATATTAGTTTAGGATAGTTTTCTGCCAGATAATTTGATCACTCTTCAGCTGCAACTAGTGAAAACCGATTTTCTGAGTTTGCTTGGCAAACTTTTGTTATACTTCTGTACAACAGGACGGCAAATGAAAAGGCAGGCGTCTCATTTTACTTGCTATAAAAATACAAAAAATAAAACAAAAGTATAAAGCAATTAGTTTCAAGTCGTTATTGTGATTCGCCACACATCATCTTCCCCTAACAGAACGAGTGATTTCGACCTTTGTAATTTCGAAGGAGTCATAACCCCAAAAACAAAAAAAATAGGCTCTTGGATAAGTTCTTTATTACAAAAGCTGTAAGTATTATTTATTATTATTATGTTATTATTATTATTATATTATATTATTATTTTATTAAAGCTGTAAGTATATTGATATACTCGATGCCTCTCAAAATAAAAACCAGGTCGATGAAATCTACACTAATTTCGCGAAACTTTTGATAAGGTAGACTATAATCTACTTTTTCATAAACTAGAATTGCTGTGTATAGGTGGCAATTTCTTACATTGGTTGATTGACTATTTATGTGGCAGAATACAGGTGGTATCTTTGAATGGTATTCAGTCAAGGGCCATTAGTTTAACCTCTGGGGTACCTCAGGGTGGCCATCTTTTACCTCTTCTCTTCAATATTTTCATCAACGACATTGTCAAGTGTTTTTCAATGTGTCAATTTAAGCTATTCGCAGATGATTTAAAGATCTATAGAGTAATTAAGTCATTAGAAGACTGTGTTAGTGTTCAATTTGAACTGAACAACTTAATTAATTG